TTCTAACCAGTTCTACCACTTAGAGGTATACTCTATGCTCACCAACCCCTTAACATTCCTAAAACCTGCCGATAACTTTCTCCTTCTGGCCTTGCTTCTGATTTCTTGTCTTCCTGAACTACCCACTTTATTTGTCAACCTAGCAGAACCAGCCTTCAAAACCAAGCCAAAGTGTCAAAAATTGTTGACACTTTTGAACATGTGCCTTTGTTACAAATGGGCCAAACAAATCCCTCCCTCCAACAGGATCTCCCGTTTTTGGCACCAGACTGTGAGCACCCAGGAAGAAAAAACGGTCGCCATTCATTACTATAATTAGGTTTCTAACACCAGTTAAACATTCAGTAAATGCTTGTTTCATTGATCATAACCCTTACTGGCCAGACTCCAATGCCATCAAAAGTGTACGAGTGCGGACAAGTAGAGTCTTAATGGAGCTATGGATACAAACCCAGCTCTCTGTCACTTATTTCATCAAGGTGAAACAGTCATTTCCCATGATTCTAAATTATGTCATCTCAAAAAGTAGTTTAACCCCCAAAATTAGTTTAACCCAAAAAACCTATTGATACATGAATATTAAGTTATTTGCAAATAGAAAAACTGGGCAAAGGCTTTAAAAAGATAGTCCACATGCAAAAAATACAACCATTGTTATAACTGAGTGAATGTAATTAAACAAAGAAGATATCATTTGTCTCTCACAAGATTGGTAAGGTTCAAAATCTCATAATACATAATACAAAAAAATAGCTTATTAAAGTCACTCCTAAAATCTGGGGATATGAGTTGGGGCAACTTCTTTGGAGGCCAATTTGGTAAAATATATCAAAATATTATCTAAACTATACACACCCTTTGACCCAGCAATTCTACATTGAGGAATTAATCCGATAGATATACTCACTCATTTGGGTATGGAGGGAGAAGCTATGTTCAAAGATATGCACTAAGATGAAAATGAAATTAACAATTCTCTTCACAATCACATCAACAGGAATAAAATGCTTCCTAATAAATTTAATAAAAGTATAAGATTTATAAATTAAAAACTATAAAACACCATAAGAGATTAAAGAGGCCCTAAATAAATAAAAAGACATCCTGTGTTCACAGATTGGAAAACTTAATTTTGCTAAAATGGCAATACCCCCCAAACTGATCTACAGATTCAATGTAATTCCTATCAAAATCCCACCTGGGTTTTTGCAGAAGTTGATGAGCATATCTCAAAGTTCACTTTTAGAGACTCAGAAATGCAAGGGATACAGAATAGTCAAACATATAGTATATGAAAGATTGTTTGTAATCAAAAAGACTAGAAAACAATCTATCAGCATTTCAATAGGGGATATACCCAACCAGTTAGGGCACATCCATTCAACAAGATACTGTGTATCTTTTAATAGAATATATTCTATTCTAATAACAATATGTGGTTATTCAATCACTCAACAAATATTTGTTGGATACCAAGAATACAAGGCATCACATGTTAAAGGAAAAATCTACAGTAGGGAAATATGTATAAAATACTCCCATCTATGTGGTGTTTTTTAATGAAAATATCTTCATACATATGTTGATATATGAACAAAAATTATTGGAATGATCTACAAGAAACTATTCATAGCACTAATCCCTTAGGAGAGGGACTTCCTATACAGTCACTGCATATCATTTTGTACTGTTGAGTGTTAGCTACATTCATAAATTAATTTTACTAAAAATAGTTAGCATAGGGGCACCTGCATGTCTCAGTCAGTTGAGTGTCTGACTCTTGTTCTCAGTTCAGGTCATGATCTTGGGGTTGTGGGATAAAGAGCCCAGCATAAGGCTCCCCACTCGGGGGGAGTCTGCTTCCCCTTTGCCTCTCCCTTTGCCCCCCAACCCCGGCTTGTGCACTCTCTCTAAAATAAGTAAATAAATCTTTTTTAAAAATAGTTAACACAAAATCAAATCATATTTGCAAGCACATGATCTAAAAAGGGTATAAAGGAAAAGTTACAGCAAGAATACTAGCATATGATCAGTGTTCTGAGGATGTTACTTAAAGTGTAAAGTACTATTTATTCCACACATAAGTGTGAGCTATACTTAAAAGGAAAATGAAACATGACCATATCTATTTATTTTGGGGGGGGTTCTAAGTACCTATTGGTTTAGGTTAACATGAATATTTTTTTAAGAGCAAATTTATCCTGACTCAAATTCACAGAATAAGAGCTTTGCAGACTGGGCCTTGACTGTCATATAAAAATGTCAGCTTGGGAAAGACCTGACAAACTTGTTTTTCAAAGGATATCTTTGGGAAATGTGTATTTTTGCACTCCCAAAGCAACTCAATAGTCCGTGCACACAATAAGCCTCTAGTAAATTACTTCTCGATGTATTTTGTCCAGTTGCATGCACTTTCCAACGCCTAGACCACAGCCACTTCAGCATAGTGGAGGTGTCTCTTAGCCAGAAGCATCTCGAAGTTACAAGCGGGAGCTGGGCAGGATGCTCGACTTGATGCTCCAGCACAGAAACAGTGCGGCAGAATGAAGGACTGCCCCACCCACGAATACCAATAGAAATCCTACAAACTGTAAAAAAAACTTAAGAGCCCAAATTCTGCCACAGGCCCTGTTGCACTCAAGCTGTGTGCCTGCGTGGATTGCTTGAGTATCTCTACCCTCTCCTTCACTTAAAGCAGGGCACTGAACAGAGGCCACTGATATTCTGAGCTTCTGCAGAACACGGATCTTGTTGCCACAGCAACTTGAAGGTAAGGCTGAGCAAATATAAAAGAAAGTGAGCTGGACCCCAAGCTGCAGTGGCTACGCTGAATTATGCAGTTGTTGCCAGGAGCAACACAGAAATTACATTTTTAAGTCATGATACACCTTTTAGCAATGAACATGAGTCTGAAAAAGTAGTTGCTCTGAGCTTCATGGTATACTTCCCATTTTTATTACAGTTCTTACTTGTCTGCAGTTAGATGTGGACCAAACAGATGCTTCCCCCACAGAGATCCAGGAGATGAAATCAAGGAGACAAATTAGCAGGCAGTTTGAAATCTTGAAGTGGGGTCTTCACTCCTGCTTACCTCTCATTTGAGTAACCTCATTGATGCCCATCACACTAGTCATAACTAATATGACTATTGTTTTTGAACCAAAAAATAGAACCCCTGTTCTTGGAAAGGTTTTGTTTTGATTTGGGAATCTGCATATATATGAAAAAATATTAGAGATAAACACAGTATGATTTAGTATGGAGTTAACTCATTTATCTATTTTTAACAAATTTTTTAAGGAGCATCTCCTATGCCGTAGGCACTGTTATAGGAAATGGCCATCTAGCACTGAGCAAAACAGATACAATCTTCTACCTTGAGAGATTATTTTTAGAGGGAGGGGGATAAATAAATAATATATATACTTACATAGTATATTAAAAGCTACTACTCTCTGTGGGGAAAGGTGTTTAGAGACCTGCTCTATACTGTTCTGCCTATGTTGAGAAGCAATGTAGGAGGCAAGGTTGGAAGCAGGGATGATGCTTCTGTAGTTGGCCAGGCAAGAAGTGATGATGGCTTAGACCTGGATGCCATCATCAGAAGGGGCAGGAAGTTAGCAAATGAAATTATTTGCTCGTAGGAAGGGTCCAGAAAATAAGGGTGTAGTAAGTTATCACTGTACTTAATACATCTGGTCCAATTATTTCTTGCCCCAAAGCCCAACCTCAGCATATGTTGGTCTATTTCACTAAAGGCAGGTAAGAGGCCCCCTACTTTCCTGAAAAGATCAAACCTATTCAGCTGAGAGCCTTCTCCATCTCTCTCCCCTTTACCTCAGTATTCTATTACTCTTTGCATTGCCTTTGTGTTTTAGAAAGTAAGATCTAACTCTGAGCTAGAAGGAAATGGAGATCAGTCAGACAGAAGGTGTTGGTCTAGGGGAGAAGTAACAAGGGCAGCAGAAATAAAGACACCACTTTCCACACATATTTAACACGTAGTCTAGCCTGAATTCAGAAGCCAACCAGTTGGAAGTGGTGAGCAAGAAAGGGAGAGCTGAAGATGAGCGAGTTCTCTAGTTTACCTGGCTATTTGTTGGGAGCTGCTATAAATGATAGGACTGACATGGGAAGACCCAAGTTGGAGGATTGAAAACAATGAGTTCCATATTGGAAACGCCATACCTGCAACACCTGTGGGACATTCGGGTGAACATACCTAACCTGTGGTTGGAAATACAGTTTTGGAGCCCAGAAAGTAATTCATGGCTAAATGTAAATGGCAACATTATTCAAGAATTTTGAAAGCCTGCAGTTCTACCACTGATGAAATGCAGTGTGGGAGTTTCCCCATACTGGAAGAGACCAAAGTAGAGTTGTCCCCTTACTTAACTTACTTATATTTACCCAGGCATTTCTGATTCCAAAGTGAATCATCACCTCAGGAAGAGAACAGCATAGGAGAGCTGAGACAGTGAATCATTTTCTACCTGGAATTTTCTTTAAAAACCAAGGGCTGCCAAACCTTGTTGGAATGCCTTCTATTATGGGCTGTGGGCAAACCTAACTTTAGAAATTCCCTCCTCTTTCAATGTGTTTTTATAATGATTTTTGTGGATATCTATGTATTTTTTTTAATATTCTAAAATTAGCTTTATAGTTTTGGGAGGAAATTTGTTTTGAAATTTCTTCACATGCATATTTGAGCTCTGACACCACCACTGATCCATGGGATTCCTTCCAGTGACTCCCTTCAAGGTCTCTTTCTCTTCACCTGAGAGATCCAACCCATCTCCAGTCCCACGTTTTTAACCTCCCAGTCAGTATCTTTCCTCTCCATCCACTGCTTGACTTCCAAGGTCTTCCAAGGTCACCCACAAATACAGAGGTCCTACTTTATGTCATCTCTTGTCTCTGGCCTCCAGTGTCTCCTCTCTCCAACTTCTCTGCGATGCTGCCCTCCAGAATACTGCAAACCTGCTCATGGTACTTTTCACCTTAAGATTGATCTGTGGCTCCCTGGTAGCTGCATAAATTCCAGATTCCTTTGCTTCACGCAGCATGTCAATTCCTTGTCACTTGGCTCTTATCCATCTCTCCAGCCTCTTTTCCCTCTGCTTTACTCCCTTGAAATCTGCACTCAAGAAAACAAAATACTCAGGGTTCTCCAAACATAAATTGTTTCCTACCTCCTTATCCTACCAATTCAATCCCCACATCACTCAACATTCATCATTCAAAGGTAGTTCTAAGAGTTCTTCGGCCTTTCCTAATGCTCCCAGACAGAACTAACGTTCTCATCTCCATTCCTGTAACCAGTTCCCCCTGGTAAGTGCCCTCTCTCAATGGCATGGCCCTTAGCTCAAGAGCCAAAGACAGAAATCTGGGCTTCATCTCATACCGCACATCCAAACCACAAAGTCCAGTTTGTTTTATCCTAAATAGCTCTAATGCTGCCCTTAGTACAGACTCCTTATCATTTTTGTTTGGACTTGTAGTCTCCCTATGTCAAGTCTTACCTGATTACTACTTCCCTGCTCACAATTGTGATGGTATTATAGCCCCTCAATATGGCCCAATCTTCCTTCCTCACCCCACCACCAACCAATCACCAAGGCCTCTCAATTTACCTCTTAAGTATCATTTGACTTTGAGTTTCTTTGCATCCACAGCCATTCCCTATGGGAGGCCACCACAGAGAGAGGAGTACCCAGATTTGACTACATGCCTCTATTTTTACCTTCACTCCCATGCTATCAGGCCAAAGCTCTCACTCTTCAATGTGGCCCACTGGCTGCTCAGTGGCTTCTGCTCATTAGTCTCCCCACCTGTCTCCCTATTCTCTACCTATACACTTTAGCCTGGCTTTTCACACAGACCACTCTCCCATGTAGAACCTTCTTACTCATATTCCTCCCCTTGGATAACTCCCAATTCATCCTTCAGGTCTCAGTCTAGATACGTACCCCAAAATATATTCCATAAAACTGTACACCCCTCCCTTTGGGAGTGGGAAATGCTTCTTCCCCAATCCCGATGAGTCCTTCACATCAGGGGAGCTCAGTTAGTGTAACTCTAGGCTTCTTCCCACACCCTTAGTTTCCTGGTCTCCGGAGATAGTTTATCTGACTGGTAGACTTTGACAGAATAGTTGGGCCTGAGTAGTTCTTAAGCCTTCCTCCTGAGATTTAGCTGCCTTCAGAGAACAATTCTACTGTCCTTGAGGCAGCAAGTTTGCCTAATTCAGGAAGTCCAGTTAGCGGGGCCAGCTGGCTCTCAGGTGGAATGGTAGTAAGTGATACTTTGGCCTCTGTCTTTACTCTTGTTTTTCAAACTGGAGAAGAGTGAAGCAGGCTCCCCACTGAGCAGAGAGCCCCATGCGGAACTCAATCCCAGGACCCTGAGATCATGACCTGAGCCGAAGGCAGAGGCTTAACCCACTGAGCCACCCAGGCACCCATAAACAGCACAATTTTAATATAACACTTCATAAGTACGACTGTTGAACAAATGAAGCATTTCTTTCGGTAACAAAAATTTGGAGATTCAATTGTAATAACTAGTATTTGCCAACAAAAACATGTTGTTTCTTGGAACAACCTCCCACTTCACAGATGTGAAGATGCTTCTCAGAGGAGTTCAAACCCAACGCTGCATGTGCCAGAAAAACAAAACACACCAAAAGAGGTCTCTGTTGGCTCTTAACCCTGATCCTCAAAACTTCTATTTTTCTGAAGCAAAACAATTTCAAAATTGTCAGATTACAATTAATTTTTAAATGAGTTCATTTTCTCCCTCTCATACTGTATTGTCTAATAGTGTCAGAAGAGTTGGGATATGGTCTGTGTGACCTTATTACTACAGTCCTAATGATTTGTTGGGGGGCTGGGAACAACCTTTGAAGACTCTTCTACCTCACAGAGCTGTTGTACACAGAGCAAGTTCCAGAAGAGGCTAGAAAACCCAGGCTTCTTTCGCAATGACCAAAATCTTTAGAGGAAAACCGTATCAAAAAAATCTTCGTGTTGAACAAATACCACTTTTTAAAAAGAAAGTTCTCTTACTTGAGAGACTTACCATACTATTTCCTCATGTTCACATTTGGAACTACGGTCTCCGTTTCTCAAAAAAGATCATGGCTGCCCATTCTACTGGACTAAAAAAACGTGCTTGGGAGAAGGCATTGTGCTTTTTTCTACATCTGCCTTCTTTTTCTTATCCTCTCCAGCTGTCTTCACCTGCATTTTTTATTTGAACTCTGGGTCAGGCGGACATACATAAGTTGACAAAACAAACAAAAAGTTGTCTCACCCAAAGCATGGGGGAGATAGAGGTTGCCCCCAGCCCAAGATACACCTCTCCCAGTTTAGCTCTAGGAAGGGGAGTCTAGATAGCTGGGTTTGGGGTTTTTTCTTCTTATAAAAGTTTTTAAGTGAATATGTTTGTATTAGCTTTGAAGCTTCCAGGGACATGCAAACTCTCAGAACCACACTTTCTCTGACAGCAGAATGTGATTTTGCTCCTTCTTAACCCTAACCCCCGGCTCCTACCGCCCCTCCAACGGCGCGTCCCCGCGCGTCCCCGCGCCCCGGAATCCCCTGTCCTCGCTCCCCGCACCCCGAGGTCCGGACCTTCGCCGTGCGCGCCCCCGGCAGCTGTCCCGAAGACCCGCACGGGCAGGGCGCTCGCTGGAGCCGAGCCGGACCCTCAGTCCCTCCAGCGTCGCCTTACCCGCCGAGGACCGTGGTACCCAACAAGGAACACTCGACCTAGCAGCGCCATTTTGGATCTCCACGACTCAGTCCCGATACCCGCGAGGGCCAGGGGGCGGGGCCGGGGTAGGGAGCAGGGGCGGGCGGGGGACGGAGCCGGAGCTGGGCGGGGAGCCAGGGCCGGGGCGGGGATTGAGGGCGGGGGCGGGGCGGGGGCGGGGCGGGGGCAGGGACCCTCGCAGGGAGGAGGGCGGAAAGGGAGCTGGAGGCGGGGCCGGGGCGGAGGAGGGGCAGGAGGGGGGGGCAGGAGGTGGGGCCGGGGCGGGGGCGGAGGCGGAGGGGGTGGGGCCGGGGCAGGGGCCGGCGCAGGGGGGGGGGGGGAGGGGGAGCTGGGGGGGGGGGGGGGGGGGGGGGGGGGGGGGGGGGGGGCGGGAGCCAGGATGGGGGAGCCGGGGTTGCTCTCCGCACTGCTACGCCCGGCGCCCCCTACCCCTTGTCCAATTCGTAGTTGGTGTGGCGCCGGATCTTACATCACCCGAGTAATAACATCTTGGATTTAAATCTCAGCTTCCCTTGTCCGGGGGCGAAGCGCTTGAAATCTAACAAAAGCAGGAGCTTCCGGGCGGCTTTGATTTTCCGCAGGACACGCCGCCCCCTATCTTCGAGAGGCAGAAGGGCTTTGACCTGGGGTCCCGCCTTTACCACCAAGTAACAAAATTCTGTCTTCATTTGTTGATGTTTAACTGCTGGTAACTTTTAAGCCTCACCCCTTCCTTTCTCTTGTGTCTTGGGTCAGCTAGGCAAGTGGACAGGAAAGCCCAGATACTCTCTCCTTTGGCACTGCAGCCAAGCCCCTTCTCACACATGGATATCCTCACTCTAACCCATAAACAACACCCAACAGTGATAAAAAAAAAAAAAAAATCCCAAGCCACTCTTTTTTTTCCTTACTGTATTAATTTTCAAGGCCTGCTTAGTAAAGCAGCATAGACTAAGTGACTTAAACAACAGAAAATTTATTTTTTTCACAACCTGGGAGCTAGAAATCTGGTATCAAGATGTTGGTGGGATTGGTTTCTTCTGAGGCCTCTCTCCTTGACTCATAGATGGTGCCTTCTTCCACTGTCTCCACGTGGTCTTCTTTCTTTACATTTCTGTGTTTAAAGTTCCCCTTCTTATAAGGACACCAGTCCTATCAGATTAGGGGATACCGTAATGAGCTCATTTTAACTTTATTATCTCTTTAAAGCCTTATCTCTAAAACAGATGATTTGATCTATTGCTCAAATTCTAAGGTATTGGGGGTTAGGACTTCAACATATGAATTTGAAGGGGGCACAATTTAGCCCATAATACTTTCTCCCTCAAACCATTTAAATCAGCTCTGGAGGCCTGCTCTGTCCTTCCAAACAGTCTCATTGCATAAATAATAAACATTTTTATATTCGTATGTCCGTGTGTGTGTGTGTGTGTGTGTGTGTGTGTGTGTGTGTGTGTGTATGGCATCATCAGTCTTGACATCCAAACTAAACGTGGGGTGGGAATCCAACTGGTTTCCACAGAGATATTATAACACTAGTGTCTTAAAATGATGCATATTCATGTCACATTTTTCTATGGGTCAGAAACCTAGATATGGTCCTAGACAGTCCTAGGCGGACTCTAGGACTATCCAAGTATGCTAGGCTCTCAAAATACTGCAATCAAGTTGTCCACTAGGCCATGTTTTCCTCTGGAGACTCAAATGGAGAAGAATCTGCTTCCAAGCTCATTCAGGTTGTTGGCAGAATTCATTTCCTTGTACCCATATGACAGAGGTCCCCAGCTTTTGCTGACTGTTGGCTGGAGGCCATCCTCAGCTTCTAGACATCACGTATAATTCTTTTCTATATGAACTTCCTCAGTATAACTGCTTATTTTATCAAGCTTGAGAGGAGAATTTTTCATCTCAGAGAGGATCCAGTCCCTCTTTTCAGGATAATCACCTGATTAAGTGAGTCTCACCCAGGATAATCGTAATCTCCTTTGATAAACTAAAAATCAGCTGATTTAGGACCTTACTTATATCTGCAAAATCCCTTCACCTTTGCCATATTCTGTAGGCTAGAATCAAGTCACAGGTCCCATCCATATTCAAGGGTAGGGGATTATATCTGGTATGAATACCAGGAGGCAGGGGTTATGGGAACCTCTTAAAATTCTTCCCACCACAACCGCTACACTAGACATGGGAAGAAAAGGCGATTGGTCCCATTTGAGGTAGACCCACACTTTACAACCAGTCAGAGGAGACGAGCCATAAAACACACTCAGGCAGGCTAGACACTGGGCACTCAGCTTAACTGTTTATGCCCTAAGCTTGGTATATCTTGGCAGAGAGTTGAACTTCAAGAGAACAAGCCAACAAGGGAAAGGAATAACCCGAGAGGTCTCCCCAAAGGCCTGGTAAAACCTTGGTCCCTTCTCATGATTCTGAGAGGGAAGGAGAGTGCAGGCCACAAAGATGAATGAAAGTAGGTAGGAATGAAAACAGTATTTTTACCACTAATGGTACGATATCTTGCTTTTGCAAATTTTACTGAAAAATAAATTGCTGTTGCCGTTTTCTAGAGATGGTACCATAAATATAATTTAGAGAACTTGTAGCATTCTTAGGCACGACTAAAGAACAGACTGGGGGCATGAAAAAAAGAGGCCACTCCAAATGTGAGGAGTTGTTTCAGCTAGGCAGGAGCCATGGGATTCGAATTCAATGCCTGAGGATATATTACTCCTGAAAGCTAATATTTTTCACCTTGTTCTGTGTGTCAGGCAGTGCTCCGCACCCTACATGTGTCCTAGTCTTCACAGGTATTTGTGGTTTGTACTATGATTATCCGCATTTAGAAACTGAGGCACAGAACAATTAGGCAAACTGCAGAGCTAATAGCTAACAGTGCTGCAGTTGGAGGCAGCCCAGGCTGGCTCTGGGGCTGGAGCTCTCAGCCATTGCATTGTTCTCTGTGTCAGGGGGACATAGACATGGGAGTCAGACTGCCGTGCCTCACAGATGTGTCACAGGTAGCCAATTAAGAACTTTTTCTTTCATTTCCTTATCTGTGAAGTGAAGGTATGAAGAGTGCTAACCTCAAAAGGTTTTTCTCAGGTTTAAACGAAATAATATATTTAAAGCACTTGCGGGGTGCCTGGGTGGCTCAGTGAGTTAAAGCCTCTGCCTTCAGCTCAGGTCATGATCTCAGGGTCCTGGGATCGAGCCCCGCATCAGGCTCTCTGCTCAGCCGGAGGCATGCTTCCCTTCCTCTCAACCTACTTGTGATCTCTGTCAAATAAATAAATAAAATCTTTAAAAAAAAATAATTAAGCACTTGCAACAGGGTCTGGCACATACAAACCAGCAGAAAATGCTTGCTATGGTCCTGCACTTAGAGACTGAGCAGTAGGTAACCCAGAGTTAAGGGGAATCCCTGATATCACTATATAATGTTTGTTTGTTTGTTTTTTCCAATGGAACCACAGGCCATAACTATTATGCAAATTCAACAGGATTTTTTTTTTAAGATTTTATTTATTTATTTGAGAGAGAGAGAGAGCATGAGCAGGGGAAGAAGCAGAGGGAGAGGGAGAAGCAGACTC